AAGAGAAAGAGAGGGGAGAGGGAATACAGAGGAGAGAAGAGAGGAAAACAAGAAAGGACGAGAGAGACAGAGAGGAGGACGGGAGGAGAGGAGAAAGAGAGAAAGACTGAGAGAGAGAAAGGAGAGGTGAGAAAGAGGGAGAGAGAGAAAGAGAAGAGAGAGAAGAGAGAGAACGTCGGTCCGAGGAGAACGACCGAGAGAGATCGCGAGGATGGCGGGAATGACAGAGAGAGAGAGAGAGAGAGAGAGGAGAGAGACGAGGACTGATAGAGAGGAGATGAGATTTGAGAGAGGAGAGAGAAAAAAAAAAAGAGAAAATCAGAGAAACAAGTATAGCAGCGATCTCTATGCAGTGAATAATCGTTATAATGGTGGATATAGACTGCAGATAGGCCGGTAGAAGACGAGGAAAAAGAGAAAAGGACGACAGACAGACAGCAAGGCTAGCTTTCCTAGATATATCGGGATTAAATGGATAAATTCTGTAACAAGTCTCTAGGTCCCTGATTCAAGCCATACATCAAATCTGTCACTTCAGACTTAAAACTGTTGATAACGATAACATATTAGAAAATGACACGCACGATCGTTGAACGCACAGCATCTTGACATCATGATCGAGCGATGCTGCAGACTAGCAACGGCCGAAGCCCAGGCATGATCTGCGGGGTCGCGAGGCTGTGAGCATTTTCCGGTCTGTACAATAATAAAGCATTCTTGGGCACTAACATGCGATTGTGCAAAAACAATCCGACCGGCTCAGCCCTAAGCTTACGCATTCGAAGCCGTATGGGATAACAAATAGCAGATCTCACACTGAGTCAGGCTGAGTATCAACAATCTCTACTACGGTGACTCTGGGTCCATTCTTAACCTTACAAAAGTTGACATACGTGCGTGCTACCTTTCTGTACCGTTGCGCTGTGGTGTTATGACTGCATCTAGTGTCGTTATCTATATCTTACTTTTTGAAAACAAACAACATTCAAACCAAAAAATAAACAAAAAATAAAACAAACGAAAATGATACTGACTGATCGATAAGTATCAGTCTTCAATACGTCACTAGGTAACGGATTTATATCTCAATTTACTGTAAGGCAGCAAATCGACAACTGTTCATGGAATGTCTCTTCAGTTAGGGGCTAATTTGAAAATACAATGTTACAAGTCACTAATCCGATACATTGATTACTTCTGTTAGGCTACAATTCTGCACATTCTTGAGGTATGGATCTACGAAGCATTAACCTAAGAATGTCATAGTAATGAATGCATTCGTATTCAAGCAAATATCACCACCAGGCTGAACAATAGACTCATATAGTTTCGGAGCATATAGTTAAAAAAATAACTAAGCCTCAACTGTTACTAAACTAAGTAGTTACAAGTGATTAAAAATAATATCAGTCAAGACACTCTGAAAAACTAATAGTAAATTGGTGTATAATGAAGCATCTTGCTGTTTAAACCACAAAATCCTGCTGGAAAATCCGATGGCTGAAAAGTGTATTCCAAAACTGTTAACCTTAACTGTGTTCCGGCAGGGTTACGTGAGGACCAGGAAAGAACTATTAATTAGTGATAACCCACCTGAATTTTGAAGATGACAAACAACTCCCGACCCCCCGCAAACCACCGCAGTTCATTTTAGAATACAATATTTCTGAGAGATAAAACAATATATGAGATATTTGACGATATATGAATATATTATGTGTATGATCACTTACAGGAAACTTACAGGAAACCTTGATATTGAGCTTATAAGGTTTCAGAAAAATATCCATTATAAAGAGGAGACTATCAGAGGGTTATTTCCTCTTTTGTTATCATCACTCGCCACACCTAAAATTTCCTGAAAATGGAGATGGGAGAAGAAAGAAAAAGTAGAGGAGAAGAAGAACAAGAGCAAGAAGACAAAAAGGACACATCGAAAGTAAGAAAGGAAAAAAAGTAATAAAGTAAATAAAAAATAATTCTTCACCTTCAAACGGTAAACAGCTTCATACAGCCTCTGCTTCTTGGCCAACCTTCGCTGAACTTCCAAATTAATAAGCCTCTTTCTCTCCTCAGCTTCCCTAAGCCTCCACGACCTTGCGAGCTCTATCTGGTGAGTACTGAGTAAGCCCTGTAAAATCAAAGATAGTATGAATGACAATGAATGACAAAATTTATAAGAGTAGAATAATTAGGATAAATTCAGAAAGAAAAGTAAATAAATAAATAAAGAATAAAAAAGGGGGCCCAATAAGCAATTTGCATAAATCCAGGGATCATAGTGATAATATGAGAGCAGTGTGTGCAAACTGAATAAATCCTTGGGAAATCTTATATACAGAGCAAGTCAAGCAAGTGTAAAAAAAAAAAAAAACAGACTATGATACAAGTGACAGTATCAAAAAGACTAACAGTTTCTACATATACATAAAGCATTACATGAAAGGGGAAAATAAAAAGTAGAGAGAAAGAGACGGAGTTAAATTGTAGGCCAAGCTTG